GATTCATGAAATTTGACGTTTTAATTTAACTAATTGCCTCATACGAATTGCATTTTTGAAGGCTATTTTTACTGACAGAATAAATATTGAAACGAGAAAAAAAATTCTTTACAGATTTATTTCTTTCACTTTGCTCTTTCCCAGTTTGCGTGAAATTTCGCTTTCCTAACTCCAAATATAAAAAATTGATATTTTAATTTACTTAATCAAAACATTCAGTAGTAAAATAATGTTTAAACACGTTACTTTTTCTTCAATTAATGTTAAACAACGTGTGCTTAATTAGTCTTAGCAGGACAATGGCAGACTTTTATATATAATATATATATATATAAAGAATATGCAGAGATGCCAACTGCTCCGGGCATGCCAAAATAATTTAAAAAAGCGGTAANTATATATAAATTATTTTATTATTTACTCATATATATTATATTCAGTACATAAAATAAGAAAGCGCACCTTTAACAAATTTTGATCTAATGATTAGATTTTTTCGCGTATTAAGATTTTTTTAAATAATCAGAGGGATTAAACTTAAATATTCTAAAATGTTCGAGCTAATGATATGTTAAATTAAAAAAACACCTCAAAAAGTAGCCGCAAATAGTATTAAGTTGTCAAAAATTTGGCTCCTTAATATTAATTCCACTTTTTTTCATGCTTAATAGCATCAAAAAAGTAATTTTAAATTTTCGAGAAGTATTTGACCGATTCCGTTAACATTCTGGATTATGTCATTCAAAAAGATGAATAACATTTTTCAATATTCTCTGTTATATTATTAGAGAAAGATATAATGAATCTGAACTTCCTTTAACAGTCGTTCTTTACCGTCATTCATTTAACAAGGTTTATTTTAAAATACTTTCTTTATTTCGAGTTCATACTTATAATTGAAATTTTTTTTTTATTTTAAAAAAACTACATGGTTATAATTATTCTTCTCGTTACTAGTTACAAAAATAGTAAGCATGTATTTCTAGCGCATTATATTTAAATGGATTTGCTGTATTTTAATTAATTATTTAAGAAATAAGTATCTTTTGTAGTGCCAAAAATCGCTTCTCTTTTATTAATGATTTAAAATTTTTTTTTTTAATTTTTCGCTTTTTATTTAACAAAGTAAAATTATCCTTATTTTTCCTTTTGATTTGATGTTATTTAAAATGAATCTTGTAAAATTTTGACTTAAACATATTGATGACAAAAATGATTTTTTTTGCAAAGTTATATAATTGTAAAACTAAACTAAACTCGGTGGCGCGACAGCCCATAGAAGGCCAAGGCCTACTGCGCCCATGTCAGTTTTCTTGACCTCGGGCTCTGGGGTGCAAGAGCAGATGTTCCGATTAGGTGGTCAGCCGAACGCGAAACCCCCAGAGTTTAGTTCCCAAGCATGCTTGGTACTTATATATCTCCCCACAGCAGGGATGAAAGACTGAGTCAACCTTGCCCGGCCCGAGGATCGATCCTAGGACCTGTGACACGGGAGCGCGAAGCACTACCACTCAACCACCGGGCATCGTTATATAATTGTATCTATCGGAAATAATGATCATTATTTTTTTAAAAAAAAGTTATAGCTGGTTCTTATTTAATAATACTATTGGAATCTCTTATTATATACTTTGTGAGTATTGTTATTTGAAAATATATGATTTCACTAATTTATTTCATTATTCACCACAATACGGTGAATAGCCATTATATTGTAAATAAGTAGTCATGTCATATTATATCACCATTCCTTTATTTCAAGAAGTTAAGCAAAATATATGTATTCAACATAATTTATATACAATGAAACTTATATGAATTTATACAGTTGTTCTTTTTGAAAAGGGGATCACTTAGTTTAAATGTTATCGTTTTGACACTGAGGAAAATCCTTGCGTGTATAAATTGCGTGATGGACACTCGGAGAAAAGAAATTCTGGTAAAATTACCGTACTGCTTATTAGTGACGTTTCTGGTTGTAAAAAATGTAAATAAAAATCATGTGATTGCAGTTTACCGGAAATTCTGGTATTTAAAATTATAGTTCTTATTAACAATCATTTAGTAAAAAAATTACAAAATTAATAAGTAATTCTAACCAACTAAATGGTTTTTATGTCATGCTCAATTTTACCAAAATCATTACCAGAGCGCTTCGGTAAATATCACAAAGCTTTTTCGGTGTTCCCATAAGGCTAGAAACATGGTAAATTTTACTATATTATATTATTATTTTAAGTTAGTTTTACTATACTATTCATTTTATTTTATTATAGTTTGAACCATAAATTTTTTTTCTCAGTGCAGAATATATTGGATAGTATTTCATGTCATTCTCTCACTTTAAATTTAAAAATATTCTTTCTGCCTTTACTAACTGTTTATGTAATTATCTCTTATATTTTGATCTCTTATGTTTCTATTAGCGAGAGTAATTGGTATTAATCTAGTTGGTCGACATTTCAAATTACAATGATAAATAAGAAATGTGTAAAGTTTGATCCAAGTAAACTGTCGGGCAGTCTTATGGCAAATAAATATCTTATTCTTTAAGTATAGTAAATTTTGTTTCAGGACAAAAATACAGAGAAATACTCTATGAAAGTATTAAATATAGTATTCTATGAAAGTATCTTACAATGTGCAAAAAAATGCTAAAATATAAAAATTATCCGTTTTATTTATTAATCGAAAACGATTAAAAAAATTTTGATGAATCGAATTTTTTTTTAATTTCTTTTTATTGCATTTATGACTTAACTTTCTTCTAAACTTCAGATTACGCATTTTCTGCAAGTTTGGATTTTAGGAGGTTAGATTAATTTTTGAAATGTAAACAGGTACGGTGACTCTTATTTAAATTTTTTGATCATTCAAAGCACTATATTCATCAAAAGAAAGATCGATTACGTATGAAGATAAATACATGAGGGTCTCAGGAGATTATATTAATATTTGAAATTTAAACAAATTCTTTGACTCTACTTTAATAACAATGGAGGCGATCCTTAGATGGCGATGTATCGATGTGTAAAGCAGCTAGCTAAAAACAAAGTCAGCCCCGCTTTATTACTATTAAATTTTATATAATTTGACTACAGTTTAATCACCAAACAGACGGTGAGAATTTGAAATAACCCTTAAGTGAAACATTTTTGTGGCGGTTAAAGAAATAAAGCAGCTTAAATAGTCAAAAATGGATATTCGATTTAATTGCGACAGTGAATTAAAGTGTTATACATTTGTATTGAATGAAAAGTTAGCCGCTTATTTGATTGTTAAGAAGAGAATAAAATATTATCTTTTTATAAAAAGTAATAAAAATTAAATAATTGGTTCGATTTAATTTAATTAAAATGGGATTAAAAATTAATTTTATGAAGAAATGTCATGACATAAACATCTTTTCCAAATATTCCTTGGAATGAAAGTTTTGATTGTCTATTAAGGTTGTTTCAATGATCGGCACTTTATTTCGACATGCCCAGATGAAAATATCTCTTGGCCATTTTATAATGGAAAGTTGGTGATTTAATTGAAGTAGATAGTGAAAACAGGATAAAAACCATAATAAAAATTTTATTTCGTTGCAGACCTCGAATTTAAAAAGAATATTTTCCAAGTGACATATCAAGTCATGACACAACCTGTCTAACCAAATTAAAAGTAATACAGGAGAGATCGAAAAAAGGAAAAAAGAAATGTTTAAATAATTTGGATTTCGTTAAAGTACATTGTCGGAATAATAAATACACTTGCATTGAAATAAACATTTATTGAGAATATTCATTCTTTATAAAATCGAAGTAAATGATTTAAAGAGGAATGATTAAATTTATGAAATAAAGAAAAGCTAGGTAATGCCTTTCAAGAGGTTATATTTATATGTGAAATTTAAACGGTAAGTACGGTCTTTTAATTATTTGACTAATTAAAGCACTTTATTCATCAAAAGAATGATCAACGAGATGACCTTATAAGGATCGGAAGATTATAAATATAATAATCTCAGAAGATTATATTAATATTTGAAATTTAAACCGTTCGTTAACTCTTCTTTTAATTATTTGACCAAAGTTTTATATTCATAAGAAGAATAATCAACAACATGACTGTAAATGAGGACAACTTGATCCCAAACTTAAAGCGAAATAAAATTTAATTAAGCGAAATTTTATAGTGAAAGTAGTTTTCCCCTGGATTTTAAAGTTTTACAATTAAATTGTGATGACAATTTGTGATATTTTTCATTTTTATACAAAATGTACTTACTTTTTAATATTTTTTATACTCAAAATTGTAATTTTGATTCGCTATTTTTACTAATCAGTAAGTACTTTTTGCACGTTGCTTTTTAAAAACTGTACTCTTTGCCTTAAAATTATTACTTCAAGTGCTATGTACTTTTATTCATTAATTTTTAAAGATTTGCATTCCCATGTAGATAAATAACAATTATTTCGAATGGCAGTTTTTCAAAAAGTACAGTTAAAATAAACTTTAAAGGTTGTTTAGAAAATCATTCGTCTACATAACGTTTCTCAAAATTACTCATTTTTTTAGCCTCTTTTATCTATATATCTTTCTGAGACTGTAGTTTTAAATTATGGCAGAGTAAACTATTTTTACTTGCAAATTAGTAGCTAAAAAGAAAGTTAACTCCTATTTATTTTTTAAAAAAAAACTCGAATTAACCGAAATGATTAATATTTTAATTATTACATAATAAATGATAACTGAATTGCGTAATTCTTCACATTTTGGTCAAGAAACAAAATCCATTAAACTCAAATAATAAAATGCCATAAAATGAACCATTCTTTTTTATTGTCATTAAATACTCTAACTATATTTTTAGATAGAGGAATACCAAATATTTTAAAATACTTTGAGGTTTAAACGTTTTCTCATCCATTAGGCAATATTATTTTATTTTCCTTTATTTAAAAGTCTTTCAGCTGACTATCTCAAATAAAATAATTGTTTTAAAAGATATTTACCATGAAGTCTGTCTTTTACTAATGGACCCATCCATGGAAATGGTGTAGCATAGGGCCTATGTGCTGGAACTCTTATGACTGTTCCGGTGTCAAAGGCTGGCATTTCGGCTAACAAAGTCGGACAGCAGGCCATTTCATCTGATATCCTTTTTTTTTCATCACCTAATAGTCTTGAAATACTGAAAGATAATCTTGGTTTCGCAACTAGCGGCGACGAATTGTTATTACTGTACAGATGATTGTTGTTAAGCGTAGGGGATGATGACACCCGACCACTGTTAGCCGATCCTGCTCTGCTGCTGACCGCACTATCGGCATCATCCATCTTGTTATAACTTTAAATAACTTGAATGAACAGATTATGGGAACACAAGAAGTGTTCCCATTTGCGTTCAATATTGATTAAAATGATCAAAAGTGAGAATATTAAGTGACAACTACAAGATTTTTCTCAGACTAGTTTTTATCATTCTCACCGCTTTGTTGTCTGTTCAGAGACCGGCTCCAAAAGTTACCTGGCGAACGAGTTTTTGTTGATAATGAGCCTTTTCTTCACTTCCCCCGCGTGGGTCGGACGAACATCCTAATTGGCCAATCAGATGTTCGTCCGTCGATCGGAGCGCCCCCCCTCCCGTCCCGCTACATGCAATTACAGTTTGCTTTGCCCCGCCTTTACTTGTACTATCTGAAAGCTTTCGTCAATTGATTATGACAATAGGTTTCGCTATTACAGATTCTCTTCTTTTTTTATATTCCTGTGGTTAATTTACCTCTTTTTTATTAAGTGTTAATACGGTTTTTTACGTCATATATGAAATCGCTTTTGCTATGAAGTTAATTTGGTAATGCACTTTATAAAATTAATTATATATTACAATCTTAGACATTTTAAGACATTTGGGTAGAAATAAAATTTCAAACGAGTTTTATAAAATTAAATAAAAATGTAATATAATATAAAAATGTTGAAATACAATGTTACTGTAGTTTTTTTTTTTTTTTTTTTTTTTTTTTTTTTTTTTTTTTTTCAATTTTCAATAAGTCATTGATTTCATGAGTAAAAAATGAAAAAGTAAACAAAAAAAATTAAAACAGAAAATATTATTTAGTCATCAATAAATTTCGATTTTATAAAATTAGATATATTGAAAAATTGATTGTAATTCTTGATTTTTCGCACACTGACTATTCTGGAGAAGTCAAGCTGAATCGATTCAAAAGCAGTTTTTAAGTATCAAAAGTTCAATTTTGTACTTGATATTCCTTAATAGAGGCATTGTTTTTTATATACTTTTGTGTGTGATAAATTCAAAAAAATAACTAGGAAATAGAATTAATAGAATCAAGAACTATAATTTCCATACAATAATATTTTTAAAACTGTTATCTGCTTAGTTTTGAATTATTTAGACATGGAAAAGTTGATACGAAACAATACCTCGTGTGTCTAGATGGTAATTGCAGTGGCTTGGAAATGTCAAATGAAATATCTAATCTTTTAGTCCTCTCTATTTGGTTTTTATTCAATTCAAAGTAAGAAAATGTATTTTTATAGGTAGGAATTTTTCTTTAGTACAAGAGCCATTTTAAGCTACATGAAATGACCAAAAAAAAAAAAATCATTTTATTTATCTCAAATTCTATTGATGAATACAATACAAAAATAAAAATAAATGGTAAGAATTTGTTTATCTATCACAGAAACATTTAATAATTTCACCGATAAGTGTTTTACTTTTATTATAATTGCAAATAATGCTTCATGTTGGTGTATCTTTTTGTTTGAAAGTTGTAATACTTTAATGAAGGCTATCCTGAAATATATCAGATGACTCTTAGTCTAAAAAATTGCTATTTAATATAAATACAAACACATGAAAAATAATCAGAACTAACTAATATAAAACTTTTCAAAATCAACCGAAAATTTTGAAATGAGTGCTACTGATTTGAGATATGTTTTGTCCGCAACTCAAATATAGACTGGAGAATGATTAGAATATTTCATTGAAGTGCAATTTTAATACCATAGTGTAATTTTATTTTACGAATATAAGATGACCTAAAAACACATTTCATAGCATTATAATTCAATAAAATAAGTCTTATGTAAAAAATAAATAAATAAATAAATAAAAATAAAAATGGAAAAATATTGAATTCTTAGTACTACTTTTATTAGTAATATTTTAATCAAGTACATCAAATTAAGATTCAAACTGGTATACACTATAGAAATTACAGTGCAGAAAACAATGAGGCACCTCTTTTGACTACGATTTGTTGGGTTTATGTAGCGTTCTAGCTTCCATACTAATTTACGACCTCTTATTTATGACTCTTACAAAAATACTTATTAAGGGAAAAACTTAAAATAAACTTATTTAAATTGGGAAAAAAATGTGTTTTTCAGCGTAACGATAAGTACTTTCGTAACCCTTAGAAATCGGCCTTATTTTAAGTAAATTTTTGTGGTGCATTGCAAAAAATTTTGTTGTTGCCTTTTGGGATTGAGTTAAGCAGAGCATGTAATCGCATTTTTTCATTTACTTTTTCATTCTTACAGTTTAGCTTGTTCACGTTTTGATTGTTTGTTTACTGACAACACATATTTTCATGCGCATCATTTAATGAGCTTAAAAATGTTTACACAAAAATTATTTATAGTGTGAAGCGGCTTGAAAATCAATTGATTTCTACCGATGGAATCCAGCTTTTAAAACAATTTCATCTATGTTTAGATGCAAGAAAATGATGAAAAAGAATATTATATTAATTGAGTGGAAGTTTATATGTAAAATGATGATTCTCAAAATGATTTCTTTTCTAATAATGAGAAAACGAGTATTTATTAGCATGATTTATTTGTGCTATACTTACTTACTACACTAAAAATAGATCCATAAATCTAGAAGCTTAGGGTACATTTTTCTAACTGGCGGAGGAATGTCAGTTTTCCGCATCGAAAAGAGGAGTTGATACTTGAAACCTCGGTATTGATATCAGCTCTGACGTCACGTATCACAATCCATGTTTCAGCTTGTCTTGAGTTAGCCGTGTTGATTTTAGCGTCTTGTAAAATCGTCAAAAGTCACTTTACTACATGACCTGGGAGATATGGATTGTACAGTACTCAAGAAAAATAAATAAATAAATAAATAAAAATAGATGACCCAGAGTAACTTTTGATCTAATGATCTGATTTCCACGTTCTAGGACTCAATTTTAATGTCTCAAGGGGATGACCTCAAATATGCTAGTTAATAAACGCAGACGATATTTTAAGTAACGAAATCAGACACAAAAACGTACTTTCTCTAAATAAACATACAGTTCTTTTTTTTTGTTTTTTTTTTTTGTTGACGGATTAGGATTTCTGACCCAATCTGGTAATTAATTCTGGTAATTAAAGACGCAAAAGAAACTGCAGTATAAGTATAAAATTTATATTATGCTAAATTAAAATAAATTAAATTCTAGTACATTTAATGCTAAACTACATTTTATATATTCTAATTATGTAGTTAGTATCTGAAAATTTCTGATGTCAAATACTTTAGGCTGAAGAGGAATTTTATAAAATAACTTGCAATTCGCTTCAAGTCAAGTTTTGAAGTTAACTTATGTTCTATATTTAAAAAGAAATTTAGCTAATATCTGATTTTTTATAGTTGAAATATGAAAATGTATTAAAATTTTATTATTCTGCTTACAATCCATATTTTGAATTATAAATAAGAAGTTATTTCCTGAATTTATCTACATCCCAAAAAAATAATAACTGAATAAATATTACTTCAAAATTATCACTAAAGATATTCAACAATTATGTGTTCATTAAATTTCCTTTTCTAGCACAGCTTAAAAGTTAATGAATGAAGCAACATTCAAACTACTAATATCTAAAGAGAAAGCGAAGAAACGTAGATGGAATGCGACGTCGCGCTGTGGCCCCCTAAACGTTCGAGGAGGCCCTGATCTGACCCGTGTTCACGTTATCAGGAAACCTCTCCTGGTTATCCAAGATCTTAACTAGGAAAATTTTTCATCGATAGTGTGAGGCAACCCAATGAATCTATCAACCATCAGCTGAGTGTTTTGGGGCGAGTATTTTAAAATTGAACTCCGAGTTACGGAAGTGAAAATTTCCTATTTACCTATTCAATGTGTATCTATTTTAACATAAATTTACATAGTAATAATGGGTTTTATTTATGTAATAAATAACGTAAATAAACCCATTATTTACTATATTTTTTACAGATTACATAGAATATTGTTTAATAAATTCAAACTAATTTATATGATTTTCATAAAATACAAGTTTAAATTCAAAGTTATTACGAGTAAACTGATGATCTTCAAATTTAATGTATGCAACAGTAAAAAAATAATAATATGAATATAATCAATGGTGCTAAATATTGATTAATACTTGAAAACCTTTGTTGATTGCATGTTTTTAAAACTTTCGGAGGCGTATCAAGTAAGCACATTTTTCGGCAAAACTCCTCTCATGCTTGCATAGGAAAGTTTTTTGCATTATTTTTGACATTTATTAAAGTAATCTAATTTTAAGATTAAACTCAAGTAAAAACGTAATTTTGGGAAAATGATGAAATTTAACTTCTCCTGCAAATTTTACAAGTGCAATCCCTAATTTTTTGCATTTAAAAAGTTGAAAGTAGGGGGATTTAGTATCTTACCTCATAAACCTTCAGTCAGCAAAAATAAACACATCACAAAAATCCCTTTAAGTGCTCACGTAATATCTGAATGACCCGTTTGACACTTTTATTGCTTAGTATGAATTTCTTTGTTTAATACTCGTTAATATAACCTACCGAAACGTTGATAAAAAAATTATTATGATTTAAAACTGTTAAAGCATGACTTACATGGTTTAAAACTGACCCAAACTTCATTTTGCTTCCTTTTTTTAAAAATACTCCCTTTGATATTCTTTTTAACTTCTATTAATACTACCCTTTTGCCTCAGTAAGTTTATGTAGATAATCTATGTGATTATAGATGTCTATATTTATGTTATTATATATGTCTATATAATCTATGTTATTATCTAAGACTATTACGCTTGCTCGAAAAAAAGCAGAAAAATGCAACTAGGAAACTATTCAATTTTCAGTTGAACTAATCGATTACAGTTTTTATTCTGTTTCACAATATAGTCCCTGAAAAAAATCTCGTCTCACAAAAAAAATCACTGTAAAAAATCTCGGTTAGTGTTTAACCAATACTTGGTGCAAAGTTTCTAATTGCACCATAAACTGGATAAATGAAAAATTATTTTATTTGGGTTGTGCCATAAATTGGTAAATATGGTCAAGAAATGCGTTTATGGCGCAATCGATTGCACCAAACTTTCGTACTATGACAGGCACGAGCTTTAACCGTGACCGATAACTTATTTTGTAGCTGTTGACAAGATGGAAGATTTTGTTGTTGAAGCTTGCTATCATCTCTTGCAAGTTGTCTTTGAAATTGTCAATTTCTTTTG